CCACAAGGAGGACCTAATTAAGATTTAAAATTTAGTGATAACTCAGGGTCTAGTAAAGCAATCTGGAAACTAATTGCATATTTGAAATCGCCACTGAGAAATACACCAGTATACTAAATTTCAACACGGTAAAATTGCTTCTCATGATGAGCTTTACTTAGTGAATGGTTAGGGCACAAACGAGCTGCTGTTGGTTAAACATTTGACTAAAAATCCAACAATTTGGGTTTTTGGAAAACACTCCCAAAGTAAACAATAAAAAAAAAGTTTCGTTTTTATTCTAGAGGAGGTCACTGCTTCTCAGTTCTACTGTAAAGGTTGCTTTGTTGTACTGCTTGTGGCACGGGATTCCCCATTTCTTTCTCTCTCTCGTCTCTAGTGTTTTGTGTAGGATTTGATGCCTATATATAGGCCCTTTCGTTGTCGAATAAATTTCAGCTGTGTTTGAGGCTGTGTTTGTCCGTCCCTTCTTGTCCCAATCTTGGGGTTTTTAGTCAAATGTTTAGCTCTACTTACTTTTTTCCTATTCTCTTTTTTCTATCACGTGTAACGATGCAATTGTCCTCCCGAATATTAAAAAATTTGGGACTCTGGAGTCATTTGGCCATTAAAGGGGCACTACAGACGATTATGTGGTCATCTGTTGTTGATTAAGGATGCCGCAGACTTTTTTCTAACCAAAGTTTCAATGATTGAATCAAGCGGTTCAAAAGGTTAGAAAGATTTCAAATTTTCTAACTTTCTATATTGAAAAATTTGATGGAAGTCGAATTTTTGCACTTGTTAAACTAAGAAGTTCGACACATTTTAAACTTTGCATGTTCAGAAATGCAATGTTTTTCAAACCTTCGAACTTATTACACTAAAAAATATGATCCTTTTCGAACTTTAAAACTTATTACGCTGCAAAATTTGATGCTTGTCGAGCTTTTGAACTTGACAGACTAAAAAATTCAATGATTTTCATACTTTCGAACTTCTTGCACTAAAAAGTTTGAACTTTTGAACTTCCTACACTAAGAAATTCGATAATTTTCTAACTTTCAAACTTATTTACCTAGAGAATTAGAAAATTTTCCAACTTTGTTCGATGAACTTCAAACTTTTATTCTAAAAAACCGGCGGATATGGTTGCATTTGGATTCAACCAGTGAAGTACATTTGTAATTTTTTTCTTGAATTTTTACATGCGGTGTTGCATTCTTTGCAAAAGACAATGCCATTTGTTTCAATGTTCTAGCATGCTTATTATTAAAGAAATAAATTCCCAAACGAGCGAGTAAGGACGACGGGTTTTTGACAATTGTCGTTTCTGCCATGTTTGAAGCACGCTACTATAGCCGAGGTTATTTATGTTAGAGAGAGATGGTAAACTTTTTAAGAATGATCTTTGTATAGCCTAGGTAAGTGTCGTCTTAAGATATCATTATTTTTGTTCAAGACGAGTTTCGAAGAAATGACCAAACATGTATCTACGGGTAATTATGCCCTAAGCTTGCTAATTTTTTTTTGTCTAAATTGTTTGAGTTATCGCATTTAAATTAACACCACATACAGTACATGTCATTGCTATCTGCAGAATTCAAAATAATGTATTTATTGTTTTTTCACAATGAGGAATAAATTAATTCATGGGGAAAGATTTCTAATATTGTTCAAGTTCGGCACGTCATTAAAAAAAAAGCCATTTTTAACTTTTTTTTTTCCGCGTCACGTTTCTGGGACATATTTTTTTTAGCCTGTACACATTTTGGTAGGAGAAACTCGTTTCAAAGTTCTGAGCCTCTGAATATGCAAGAATACAACACTTCCAACGAGTTCTGGATAGTTTTTTTTCTCTTTCTTTCCAGCTTTTTATCCCTGCATTTATTGTTATGTTTTTTTTTTGTTCTTTTTTTTACCAATGGGACAGTTATTTATGTCGAAAAGGCATAGCTTGGAACTTCCGAACCACTAAGCATGTTACAAGTAGTGCCTTCTGACAACGAGTTTCCGACAATGACCATCTACGCTATCTTTAATACAGAGAAGAGCGACAGCAGCTATACGTATACATAAAAAATTTCAGATTAAAATAAGCTCGACCGCACCCTCTTTCCCCTTATTGTTTTCTTTAACAGTCCGAAATACCTAGAGAAAGGGGAGGGTGGGCTGGAGCCCCCCCCCCCCTCCTCCCTCCCCCTTTTTTTCTTGTTTTTCTTCTTCTGTTTGGTAGAACGCTCCTTGACCTCAAGTTGTGTCGATTTTCGTGCTTTTTGCTCGGCGTTTCCTTTGTCCCGAAAAATAAGCCTCCAGAACAATTACAAACTAAACTTACTATATGCCAGCGTCACTCGGGCGGTGTTTGATCGGAGTATTACCAGCGTGCAAGGGGTGGGAGGCAGTTTGCCAGACCGCTTCAAGGTTTTTCTGAGCCTCAACCTCCCGCTTGCCCCTGGCCGTTTCAAACTAGATGAGTATCGTAAAACAGTGTGTTTGTGTGATCACTACTGCATGTGCACGTTAAACACACCCCCGGGCTGGCGGTCACAATTACTGATCTATGGTCACACGTCAGTCTGCACTGGCAAATATTCCAGCACATCCGGACACTTAACGTCTTATTAAATTGCCTGACCAACTTCGCGCAGTGTAAATAACACATCCAAACTTTTCTAAACCTGATTTCGTAAAAACCCGTGAGGCGTGAAAACATTATTTGTAACTGAAACTGTGGAGGAACATGAAAACCGGACCTCGAACTTTGCGAACTTGGACTTGAAAGAAATTCAAAATCTTCTGTTTTTTCGTTCGAATTTAGCCCTAAAAGAAAATTGAAACCTTCAAGCTTTTCAAACTTCGTGTAATTTTTTTTCTCGAAATCTTAATATTTTTCGAATTTTGTCTATAAAAATTTGAAATGTTTGAATTTTTCGAATTTCAGATCCAAAGAAATTTGAAATCTTCGAGTTTTTCGAACTTCAGATTCAAAGAAATTTGAATTTTTCAAACTTCAGATCCCAAGAAATTTAAAATTTTCGAATCTCACAATTTACAAGTTAAGAAAGTTCGAACTCTTCTAATTTCTTGAACCTGAAGTAAAAGAACATTCGAAATATTCGAACCCGAACTTTAGAAACTTTGAAAGTTTCAAACTTTTCGAATTCGAAACTCCACGGTGTTCGAAAGTTGCAACCTTTTCGAATTCGAACCTCGGTACAGTTCAAAGATATTTAAATCTTTCAAATTCGAACCTCAGTTTGGTTAGAAAATATTGAAACCTTTCAAATTCAAACCTAGGGTGGTTTGCGACATCCCTATTTTTGATCATTACTGATTCTACGGGCCCTAGGCATCCTAAAAATTAAAAAATTACAATCACGCAATGCCAATTTCCTTATCAAAAACGTGATGTAAGGTCGGGATGCACCACTATTTGAGTAAATATTTTCTCTCGGGAAAGGTGGGGCATGTCCCACCAGCGGTGTTAGCGCGGTGGCGATGGGCGCTCGTCGGCCAAACGCAAGCCGCCTCTCTCGATTAGCCAGCTTGCGATTGAGAGGCAACTTGCGATTGTCTGAAGAGCGCCCATCGTCACCGCGCTGACACCGCTGGTGGGGTATGCCCCGCCTTTTCTGAGCAGGAATATCCGCTCAGAAAAGGGAGTGTCCCAACCTTTCATTGTGTTTTTGATAAAGAAATCAGCATCGCATGATTGCAATTTTTGAATTTTTAAGATGCTTAGGGCCTGTACTGTCACTTATGACCAAGAGCAGACAATGGCAGAAATCTCTTTAGTTCCCCTTTAAGTATATAAAAACTATCTCTTACACCTACAAAAAAACAAAAATTTAGCAGTCCTGCGTTAATCTGCAGTGGAGCGATAGCTGGGACACGTCACGGCGAAGTGGTTGGGCATCAGCGTCGCATTCACGCACTGTGGGACAGTGCCTGAACAAAAGTGTTCGGAACAAAATAAACACCTGTTTTGCTTCGAACGCTTTTTTTTTTTTTTGCCCTGGAGTGTGCGAAAGTGTGTCTCCTGGCACGAGCTCTTCACATTGACGGTGCTACAACATTATTTTGTTATAGACTATTTTTTTTTCTAGAGAGCATGTGCAGTGGGTATTGGGTACTATAAAAACCCTAAGCTTAGAGCGGGCTATTAACAACGTGGCGTGGTTCAGCGATAACACCTCCCCTTTGCACGTGGCGGACCCAGGTTCGATTTTTGCAAGTTTGGGTACCCCCGTCTTAGAGGACGAAAAAACACACCTGCAAATGGAGCATGAAGCACACTCACTTGTTTTCAATATGGGAGTTAGGGTGCCACCTTGGGCTTTCTTTGATAATTTAAATCGTCAAGTGTGAATGAGACATTGCTCAATTGTATTACAGACTGCACCTGGCATTCATTCAGTATACCTTTAGATGACCGAATCCTGCATCTCCGAGTGTTTTAATGCTTCACGGTCTATTGTGGGCAGGGATACATAAAAAAAAAAGGGAAACCCACGAAGGAGTATTTCTGTTCTTGTGTAACGTTGGAGAGAATGACGTGCTTGTTTGTACATTTTAGTTTTCCCCAAATATCTTACTCTCAGATTTTAAATTCTGCTAACAGTACTATACAACATTCTTTCTTGTCGTTTGATACTTCGAATGAACTGTGCCGATAAAAACCAGTTATAAAAAAACACCGGGGCTAGGAAGATGACACGACATACACAAGTATGAGCTTACTCATGTACATTGTGTCGTCTTCATAGTCTTGGCGTTGTTTATTGCCAATCCTTTGCAGCAAAGCTCATCTTAGCACAAAAAAACAACCAACTAGCCCAATCCCAAGCATTGTTGTCGTCCGATACTTCTCACAAAGGTGTGAAAATTGTGGAGCGTGGGAGGGTCTCCGAGAAGCGAGAAGCATAATTTTAAACAACTTTGCGTAATTCTCTGCGCAATTCGAGCTCAGTATCTAAAGAAGGAATACCTCCCAAATCTGTTGCCTTTTGCTTTGCCAGGTTTCTCACGTCAGGCTCGTACCCTCACGAACGGGAGCCCGTCACCCGTGCATCGTTTCTGCAGCAGACGACGCCGTGCGGCTACATGCGGGCGACTGCTTTGAGGCAGATGGAGTCACTCTTCACCACACGATAGGCGCCACCGTCACTTGCGTGGATGCCACGGAGGGCGTGGTGGCGCTGGGAGTCACCGACCGAACGGCCGTTCACGTGTTTCAGGTGATGCAGCAACCCTGCGCGTCCCTTTGTCTCGTGTTACTTGCCGTGTTGAGTAAACGGCAATGCTAAAAAATGTGCTGTCTTAATTTTCATAGTTTTTGCATTTTTGCACTCTAAGTTGGGCGCTCTACCATAATATCGTGAGTCATCGCCCACCCCCCTGCCGCCTGAAATTCCTAAAAGAAGTTGGGTAAGCCATGTCTCGGTGGGTAAAAAAAAAATCGGAAAAAAATGGCCATTTCTTTTGCATATCTAGCGCGACTGCAGAAGAGATACATTAAACTCAAAACTCGATTTAGTTCTATTGTTTTATACAAAAAATGCTTATTAAAGAATGTTTTACTATCGCAAAGTCTGTTGTTGCATACGCGCCATGAACACTGCCAATCGGCATACGACGCAAACGTTTGTTCCGTGAAAGCATGTTACACTGCTATGTTCTCCTCGTTAGAGTTAAAAAAAAAAAGTACACAAAAAAATAGAAAAAACAGTCAGCCTTTCTGCTCTCATGAAGAAGGAAGACTAGCGGAGCTGTGCTCAATACACTGCCGCTACGCGCACGCGCCCGTTTCCCGCTTCTTCTCGTCCGACACGCCGCCGATCGTGGATACGTCTCCGGCGAACCAGAGTCGATTGCACACAGCGCACGTGACGCCAAACGGGTTCTGCACAAACCACGAACTCCCTCCGAAACCTCGCCGTCGCACTTGGGAACTGTTCAGCCGGCGTGGAGTGCAGTCGCCACCGGGCCTTGCCCTTGCGCTTGGCCTCCGTGACACGATCGTCATCCGTGGCGTTGGCCCGCCGGCGCCCTTTACATTGCTGTTTCTGTTCTTGGCAGCGGCTTTGCAGGCGAGCGATGTGCTCTTTGGCAAGGGAATCTGAAGCGCTGGACGCAGTGGAAGTTCAGGCGACAGCGGCTTTGCGTCGGTTGCGGACCCATTCGCGCTGCTGCGTACGTCGCCGCTTGTTCCGCAGCCTGTCTCCTTTCCCCGAAAGGGCGCACGGCCGACCCATCATGAGTCCAAACCGAGACTGATAAGAGCGTAGGAGCGTAGGAAACAGCACAGTGGGAAACAGCGCGTAAAACAGACAAGGATGAAGAAACAAACGTGACGAGCGCTGCGCTCGTTACGTGTGCTTCTTCTTCGTCGTCGTCGTCTGTTTTTCACGCTGTTTCCTACGATGAATTCCCACCAATGTGCCAAACTATCAATCCTTCTATAATAGCTGGAAAGGTTGCCGCCATCTACGAGCGACAGCGGAAACCATACTGGTTGTGTGCTTGCCGCCGTCGCTTATAGATGGCGGTAGCTGTCCAGGTAGGTCTGTGTCGACATACCGGACACGATCCTGGGGAACCAGCTCCGCTGTAAAAATTAACAAGGTGCAACAAGCGAGCAAGCGGACCAACGGAGAGTGATGCTGGGAAAGCCGGCAATAGCGTTGGCAAATACCTTGGCATCGGGCCAAGTCGGGTGCCTTGTTATTCGCAAGCTCTTGCGCAACTTTCTTGTTTGGGAGGCGGCGTTGCTGCGTGACATGGACGGCACCACGAACACGAAGCTCGAAATGGGACGATCTACAAACGCCTGTGTGCGGCGTTTCAGCAAACCTTTATCTACCCGTTGGCTTTGTATAAACATTGCAAAATCGCCGTCGCGGCGTGCCCGGAGGAGAAGCGGGTTCGCGGCGACCTCACTTCGGCGGAGATAGACTTTGACCTTACACTCCGCGGTTACATTCCAGGATATGGGGCGTTCACTTGCCTCGCGATCCCTGAATGGGTTGCTGCGTTTGTTATCTTTCCGACAGTTTTTTTTTTTTTTTTGTCGGAACGATTTTTTTGTGAGCAAAACAAACTTTCATTTTGTTATCTCCATTGTTTTCTCTTTGCACGGATACACTACGACTTCGAGGTCGCTCATTGAGAAAATGCGTGAACATAAAGAGGTGTCTTTGTCTCCTTCGTTTTACTTTGTCACGGACGTCCTCCAACTGTAAGGTCCGCGGCCACGTCATTTGGGTTGGATGAATGTTCGTGGAGTCAGCGGTGGTGTATTTGAAGGAGCGGGCAATGACTCTGTATTCCTTTAATGCGAAAGCATTAACTGTCTCATGGAGCGAGCCGACGTCATCAGTTTGAAGCACAAAAACGGCACCTTAAATCCTTTCTCCGAGTGTAGCCAGCTCCCAGCTATGAAACCACGCGAAAAGCCTAGACACGGCCACTAGCTTCCCTGACCCGAAAGGAGTGAAGTAAAGCTGATGATTTTTCGGCTTCAGTCCCATTGGCTGGCGCGCGTCGACGAGGCTCCCATTGGCCGCTGTGTGCCAGTTTTAATGATCGCTCACCTGATGGCACTGCGTGTCCGCGAGGCCGCGGCTCCACCTTTTCACACCCACGGTCAGTGCACCGTACGCCGCAGACGAAAGAAGGGAACGAAGAGCGGCGTGCATGCTTTCGCATCCACAGCTCATGACAAGTGCTTAGGTGTACCTCGAGCATTTTGGAAATCGATATTGGCCCAAAAAGTGTGGTGGGTGATGACCCGGGATATCTCAGTAGTTGTCCCTTACTCCTGTTTTCTTACCCCTTTTGATTTCACCTTATTGAACTTCGTGTTAATCTTGATCTGTATATTCACTGTTTATGTGCATGTTCTTTTGTTGTGCGTGTGGGATCAGGAGTTCGATAGCAGAATGAAGCAGAAATAGAATTTTCAGATAGCCCGACGCAAGCACAATGATATAAATCTCGTTGTTATATGAGTGATGTGAATATGGCGAAAACCTCTACCTAGTATTTCATAAAGCGGCGAAGAGGGATCCACCCAAACTCGCAAGGTGATTATAATCTTATTTGGTGGGTGTTTTCTCATTAAATTAGTGGGCGCTCTATTTGCCCTGAGCCTCTTTGAGGTTGGCATAAAAAAGAGCTCGGGTGCACGCATGCTGTATGTTTCGGAACGTTTATGTTTTCAGCGAAATTTACACTCGTCTTTGATCGCACGTTGCAATCAAGGGTTGCTAATGATGGCCTGGGAGCGCCTTTCTTCCTTATTTTATCCCAACAAACTCAGCATTTAGAGGGTAGCCAAGAACGGTTAGTGTAGCATCTGAGTGGTTGCTCAGCAATTCTTGCGTAAATCTGTAGCTCATAATAAACTAAAATTGTTCTTTTTGAACCATACCCTATGGATAATGGCTGGAAGCCGCTTACTACTTTACCAAGCAGATGGCGGATATCAACCTAACTCGGAACAAGTCTTGACTTTTTTGAAGGGGCAAGGATCAACTGACAAGGTGGCTACTCTTATGCAGTGGTGTAGGCAGAGTTGAGGGGACAAACGCTGCCCATTCTTCTCAAATTTTTTTCTGTGACTGCCGTCGCATTGAGAGATGAACTGACGCAATATGTTTCTTAAGTTATGAATGTCGAGGAATAATTCTAAACAGTATTTACTGAAAGTACAAAAATTGTTGCATTGCCCCTAAAGTGTCTTTTCAGTTTAAGCACTGTCCTAGCAGATCTGAGCCACCCTCGATGCATAACTATAAATCAAACAGTCCCTAGTGTGTGCATAAATGTTAATGAGGTCCGTAAGCTTTGGCACCGCCTCATCGCACTGACGCCGAGACTGGGAAGCGTCCCTCGGGCGTTGTTCCAAGTAGAGGTGGGTTCCCTGAGATAGGAGAGTTAGAGAATCCCTGACTTGCGCTATTAGGCAGGAGATCGAACTATAGGGGGCATTCTGACCCGTTTGTTTCCCCACACCTCGGTGTTTACTCAACACAAGGCCTGTGCACATGCCCACAGGCCCTATGGACATGTCCATGTCATCTTCTACAATACAGCGCGGGGCACAGTGTAATGTAAAGAATACTAACAATCGACGAAGTGACGTTAAGTGCCGGATCTATCCCGAAAGCAGTCGTCAGAGAATGCGAGCTTGAACCACTTGGGCTTTTGTGCTGAGCTGGGCGCAGTATATGCTGCATTGTTCATGCAGGCCAGAGTGGTAACAAAAGAGCCCCTCCTCTCCCTCATTGGAGAACACGAACTCCAGCTGAACGTTGACGCCGCGTTCGGTTGTGTCAGCCGAGCGCTGAGTTATTGTATTTGTTGTCCCCATTTGTGTAGTTGTAAAGTTAACCGCTGGGGGTGTCGTGGTCAGTCTTCCTCCCCAATATCAAAAGGGAAGGAGGAGATAGTTGTATCAGCCGAGCGTCGGTTACTTTCTGACGGTTTCTCGGACCTGTGGTGATCTACTACGACTGATTTGATTGTTGTTGCCAGTGTGTTTCATTCAATGTTTAGTTGGCAGCCAGCACTTGTCCTGTTCAGTTTCGTATTGTTTGTCTTCATTTTTCAATAATAAAAAAAAAGTAAAAGTAAAAATGAAAAAATAAATACATATATATATATACTAGTGAAAAGTCACTACTAACTTTACCAAATTGTTTTTCTTAGTGCATCAAAGACAAAGTCGACATAGACTGATACGGTTCCATTGAACCTTTAATATGCACATGTACAGGTCCATGGCTTTTCCATGGCTTTAATTGCTGCGAATATGAAATGTCACTAAAATATTGTTTTCTTTTGTTTATTTTGTCAAACATTGAAATGCGTTCTCGCCACATTACTTTGTCCCACACACAACCCTTTTCGGCTTACTTAAAAATTAAGCCCTAAAACTAAAAACAAAAAGAAGATGTAAAAAATTGTGTTGTATCAATAGATTGTAATCATATCTTGCGCTGCTTTGCCTTTTTGATGATGAACCAACTAACCCACGTTACCACCTCGATTCCCTTTTCTTTTCTCGTCCGGCTAACGTGAGTCAGGTGCCCCTCTATGCGACGGAGAGTGCGAATCTGCTGGGGACGCTCACTAGCCACACGAGCTCCGTCCTGTGCGTCAACGTGTCTGGCTGCCCGGACAACCTGGTCCTCACGGGAAGCTGCGACAAGAAGTAAGCCTCTCGCGCCAGAATGCTCTCGTAACCGGAATTCCTCGCTTTACAGTCGACACACGCACTCCTTTCGAACGAGACTCGCAAGTGCATACTATTCCGCGGGGCATGTGCGGAGCTGGACATTCTGATTTGCAGAAGGAACTGAGCAAACTAAGGAACCTAGATAGTAGTTTCATTTGATTTGCCTGTACACCTCCTGCACCGGTGCAGAAAAAAGGTAGGTGCACTTCTTGTATGTGTATTGAGATACGACTGGAAGTGGCATACTGCCCTACACTTTTCTACAACGGTGCAGGGGGGGCAGGTAAATCGAACGAAGCTAGAGTTTGTTCTGTAAAACCGGGTCTGCGTTGAACTCTGGGCACAAGAAACGGCATGCCCGGTATCGCGGGGCGGACGCAATATTTGTGAGAGACTGTCCTCTCTGCTTCGTCGCCGGGTGGTCTCCTGGTTCCCTACCGTTTCGTGAAATTTCGTTTCGTGGTCATCTTTTCATGCACACGCATTTCATGAAAACACGTTTTGTCGACACAAATGTTTCATCGACACTCGCTACGCGAATTGCAAGCTGTAGGGACATTCTGTCGCGCATGTATCACGGGGATGCGTGTTAACCCATCCGGCCACCCCACTTACGCCGCTTCGCGGTGACAGTCTACGCGGCTCATTCAAAAAATGGTAACCCACCCGTACACGCCGCTTCGTGGCAACAGTCTGATGCAGCTTATTACAAAAAAAAAAAAAAAAGAAACTAATCTGAGCTGTTGATGAAACAATTTGTCGATGAAACAGCCTGTTGAAACATTGTGTTGATGAAATCATCTGTCAATGAAACAAAAAAAAAGTCTTCCTCAAGTCGAGTGTGTTGACAATAGCGGTTGAGCAATCGCATTTTGAACGCCTTATCTTGTTTACCTTTTTCTTTCGCCGTTTTTGCTTTGCCCGTTTTTGCTGCCTGAATTTAGTGAGGTTTCTTTTTTGTTGCTTGCTTACCTTTATTTTATGGATCAAGAGCTTTTTTATGCAGCTCGCTTTTTTCATTCTCTCATTTTTTAAATTATTTCCGTGTTTTGTTGCTGGCACTGTGTGGAGGTCGTGGCAGGCGTAAACGATCGCAAACACCGTCGCACAAACATGGCGGTGTTTGTGATCTTCACCATCTAAGCTGTACTGTATTTAGCGGCTCTTAGAGGCTCCATTTGGTAAAATCCCGTTTGTCGCGGCCTTCGGTATTAGCAGAGACGCGTTGAAATTTCAACTGGGAGCTAAAGTTAAACTTATTTTTGTATATCAAATTATCAGTATATCAAACTATTTTACGATCCCCTTTGAATTCAATATGTCCTGGTTTGACTGCATATTTTTATAAATTTTACGCATAATTCTTTCACCGTGAGCTGGAAACAAGTCAAACAACGTTATAAGCAACTATTTCTCGTAAGTAGTGCATAGATCTCGTGAATTCCGCAAAACCTTTGGTGTAGTTATACGCAGGGTGGAGGCGTTCCGGGTTTAACCAGTAGACAGCACCGGCGTGCCGCCGGTTACGAGGACTCGGCAGAGTCGGGTGCAAATGTGCAGACCAGCTTTTACGGTGCAAAGGGACGAGGTCACGGTGCTGCATCTGACTCGGAGCTCGTGTTCTCGCAACAGTGCCCGCATCTTCGACGTACGCACGCTGCAGTGCGAGGTGCGCATCAGTGCCCACGGCCTGGGGGTGACCCAGGTGCAGATGGACGAGCACAGCCTGGTGACTGGGGGCCAGGACGGCCTAGTGTGCGTCTGGGACCTCCGCTCCAAGGCCAAACTCTGGGAGATGTTCTGCAGGTGTGCCACCCCAGACCTCCTCCCTTCTTGGCGCCGGAGGCAGAGGACACTCACTAGGAGAGGAGGTGGTTCTCAAACTTTTTATACTTGAGGACCCCTTCAGGTTTTGATATTGATGCAATAATGCGAGGCAGGAGTCTGCAGACCTTGTAAGTAGTAATGCATATACTAGTAACTGTTTCCCCCTGGCTAAGCATTGATGCATATGGGCAGCTCAGATCTGCAAAAAGTAGAGCACTGGGAAAGCACTTCACTTAGGGGCAGGGATGGTTGAGAAAATCTGGAAGCATGGGTATGCTGTGGGGAATCCTTGTGTTCCTAAAAATTCAGTTGGAGTACCCACACTATAGCATGATATTATGTCATAAAATGCATCATTTATTAAAAGATCGCCAATATTTTAATTCTGGTATAAAGTACACACACTGCAATTAACTGAGGAGTGCAGTATCCGACAAATGTAATGTTCTTAATGACTGTGGCACATTCTTTTGATGCAATTCTCGACGATATTACGCCATAATTGCGACTCAGTTTCGTCAGTGATGTGTCGAATCTCTTTGAGTCCGGGAATTGTTTGTATAGTTTGTTGGCATAGACACGAGATTTTGCAAACCTCGAAAGAAAGAAGTCGCACGGCGCGGCCAATTCTTTCCTCTGTTGCAAGGGGTTATACGGCCTGCAAATTTTTCACAACGGGAAGAGTGTGCCAATAGAGACGTGGGAGACATTTGTGGGATATTGCGTTCCACATTTAATCCTAGTGTATGTACTTCATTCTAATATATAAATATCTGCAGTTTTTGAATAAATGGTACATTTTTATTACAAAACAAAATCTTGCGCTCTTACACTGGGACACACTATACGGCCTGCAAGTTTGTCTGCTCTTTGCACACCACATGCTTTTGCTTCCCCCCAACCTCAACCAATGACGGTGTGCGCTTGGCTGCATCATCATCGCGGATTTCCTGCGCATTCTTTATGTCGCCCTCTGATTGGTATGCTTCTCCTAGCGTACGGTTGTGCGAAAGACGCATTTTGGTACACTTGCTCGCCGTATATTGAGTACAAGCAAGAAGGTGTACAGTCTCTACTTTTTTCGATTTTTCATGTGTCCCAGACAGGATCTACACTCGGGGACAACTTTCTGTGGCAATGGAGAGAATGCTAGAGATGGGGAGGGGGAGGCAAGGCAGAGGTAACGGCCTTGTGTCATAGCACCCAGTAGTTGTGGACGTTTTTGGTTTCAGTTTGAGTTTGGGTTTTTGCATGACTAACATGCGTTTGGTACAGTTAATCTTTTCATATGCTGAACCGTGATCGCCAAGCATGTAAGCATATCTGCGTCCCTTTCCTAGCATTTCACCTATTTCTGGACATAAGCCAACGCTTTGACTGGAGCTCTTGAACCGACTTACGAGGAAATTACACCATGGTCGATCTCCATAAATTTCATTTGTCTTGCGACCGGCGCAGATATACGGCGTCAATTTAGGAAATGCCGGGAACTCATCAGCGCTGCAGTGTTTTGAGGTCATTGATACATAAACTCTTCTGGTGCTGAAAAAGGATAGTGCTGGTGCTGAAAAATTGATGCGGGGGTGCAACATACTGAAATAGGAGCACGCACACACTGTGGCTGGCTTTAGGGGTGGTCGGTTGTGCTCCCCAACTTGGAACACACATAGCGAAAGCTCCCGCTGCAGAACCCAGGGATCCTGGGCTCGGTCCCGACCCCTGCTTATTTACTCCGGTGAGCTTGCTAACCAGCCGGTATATGGAAACCATGTAGAGTTCCAGTTCGCTCTGTCTCACTTGTCCATACATGTTGCACACTGCTTGCTTGGTTTGTTTTGACAACTCTTGGTTGAAACAGCGTGAAAATCCTACGGGGCAAGCTCACAGAAGGTATTGGCGATACACTACATCGATGATACCAAACGACGCACACGAGAAAGACGCCATGTTTGTTTTGCAGGGAACAGAAAACCTGCGGCAAACTTATGCGAAGAAAACTCGAAAGAGTTAAAAAAGAAATGATAAAAGTTTGGGATATCCTGGCTAATATTATAGTAGCATTCTGAAATTGAAGCTAAAAAGAACAGTTTTATATTTTTAATTGATTAAATTACACCCAGCAAATTATAAGGCAAAATTCTTACTTGTCGCATTGCATGAAAAAGCTATGTCATTGTGCCCGAAAGATGGCCATAAAAATATGTCATCGAGCACATGCCAGTCATTCGAATGCTCAAGGACGCCACCGTCCTTGACGTTGTCCTTTAGATTGTCCTAGACGTTGTCCTAGGCGTCGTCCTTGAGGTCATCCCAGAGTTCGTCCTAGATGTCGTCCTTGAGGTCGTCCTAGAGGTCGTCCTAGACGTCGTTCTTGATTCAACCTAGAGGTTGTCCTCGATGTTGTCCTCTAGGTGTCGTTCTCAACGTTGTCCTAGATGTCGTTTTTAAGGTTGTCCTAGAGGTCGTCCTAGAAATCGTCCTAGACGTCATCCTTGAGGTTGTCCGAGAGGTCTTCCTAGGCGTCGTCCTAGACTTCATCCTCGACGCCGTCCTAGAGGTCGTCCTAGATGCCATACTTGGCGTCAGTTACTTGGATATCATCCTTGACGTCATCCTATACGTCGTCCTAAACTTTAACACCTGTAGAAACATTACTCGAAAACATTCCTCCAGTGGAACTGTAATGCTTCCGCCTTCCTACATGTAAACAGTCTTGAGTGTCCTCCTGTAATATTTTTGGTTGAACTACAGTGAAACCCGTTTAGAACGAACCCACGTACAATGAATTATTGTCGATATCGAACTCCCGAAAAATTGAAATAAAATTGCATGTACAAAGTATGTTTTATAACGAACAACGTATTGGCTATATCAAACTTTTTCCCCCCGGGAAGGCTTCCAAAAATGTGAAAACAATTGTCTTCTAGCCTGTCCCGTCCCCCAAAAAAGAAGTAGGAAAGAAAGAAAATTTCAAAAGCTCAAGTTGCGAACAAAATTGAGCGAAGAGAAGTAACTCAGGAGGAAAGAAAGCTAAAAAATACACTCTGCATGCACGCACAAAAAAAAAAAAGCTTTTCATCCCGAAGCGTTTGCCCACGAAGAGAAGCGATTCAAGAAGGGAGATAAGCTACAAAAACAAACTGCGCACTCATGCAAAAAAAAATATTTAGCTTTTTGTTACGAGACGGAAGTGAAGAGATGAGGAAGAAAGAGAAGCTCTCGTCTTACAACGAACTCATCGTGGAAGTTTGTTGTAAATGTTTTTTTTGCTATATCAAACTACTTGCTATATCGAACTGATCGTAGTGTTTCCTGCTATTCGTTATAAATGGGTTAGACTGTATATTCAGCTGCGCAGTGAAACAGAGTGCTTCAGCTCTCTAGCTTTGGCTAAGAAAGAACTAGAAGAAAAATGTAGACTGAATGCACTTAAAAATATTTTTCAACAAGAAAACATTTGATGTGGAGGGGGGGAGGAGCATTTTAAGCTGAAAATGACGTTGTATGTCAGCCTTTTGAATTGAACAGCTTGCATCACATACAGTAGTTTTGTTTGCACCTCTGGGGCTTTAACTATTTGTGATCTCTTTGGACAGTGACTATTCTTGTAATGGTGAGCTTCAGTCACATTTTTCCCCTTGAAATATTTTGTGGTAGAATTTTGCATGCATACAAAAGGATAACAATACTACAGTCGCCGACCGATTTTTCGCATGCTGTAAATTCAGACTTGTTTGCTACTTGGACTTAATTGAGGGACTGTGATGTACCTGGTAGCAATAGTACATATTGTTGACCAATTTTTCGAACAGCCTGAAGTTCTAAAGTTTGATTTTTCCGATTTGATAGACCGAAGAAAGGGTTGTAACGGTCCTGAAGGCCTGAAGGGCTTTGTCCGTTTTCTTCTGTTTTCTGACTGTTCCGCGTGGTTTGCGTGGTTCTACGTATTTCATGTGTTTTGCAGTTGCATCCCTTCCTTTCTTTGCTTACCACTTGTCACGTGAGCTGCTGTTTTTGATTTCTGTTCATTTAGTCTTGAGTGATACAGATAGGTGGTGTAGACAGCATGCTACCATCTGCTCATGCATTGCTGCAAAATGTAAAGAAGCGCTGACGGTATTCTACAATGATTCTGGAGAAGAAAACACTAACAAAGTTAATTGAGAGAGGGCATATGCTAGGCTACATAGCTAAGGAATTCAAGTTCTGAAAGCAAACGCTGAAGTGGAGAGTGCCAATATCTAGCCAAAAGCTGCATTAAATTTTTTAATTTAGGAAAGAACGATAAAGACGTTATAAAACCTTCTTTTTAGTAGCCCACTACAAGTTAGTTAAACTTTGCATAAATGTAATTAAGATATTGCAATTTTAAATAGATACCAGCAATCTACGTGTCTAGATATCGGCACTCTATGTGTCCTCAAAATAATACATAATTTTTTAAAGTTATTATCAGAAGATTCTAAGTACTAAGAACTGAATCCACAAACTGTGAAGACAACCCAAAGGTTCAAGACAAGAAAATTGCATTTGAAAGTTCAAAAGATGTGTACTCCTCAAATATTGGCTGCAAGTACAGGAAATATGGCAAGAACATAAGCCCTGTATTTACTCGAGTAATAGCTGCACTGTTTATAAAGAAAACCTGAAGGTTCACTTTTCCGCGGAGCATGCAGATTGCCAATCACCGCGATCGACAGCATGATTCCAGCTGTTTAGAGGAGAGAGATAATCTTTTTGCACAAAGTTACCATCTGTGAAGATTGCCTCTAGTGGACACCGTACCGGCGTGCAGTCGTGTATCACTACTGTGTGATTGACGTTAAAGACCCCAGGCTAGTGGTTGTACTGCACTGGCTAAATTGCTCATCTACAGCTGGGAGACTCGTCGCCTGTCGAAGCAGACTAAGTTCTAGGCTGTATAAACGTAAACACAGCCCCTCTATTGGACAGTCGTGTTCTCGATCTAATTATTCACTATGTTATTTATGCGCAATGCAATGATTGACTGTATATGTGTTCTGTGGGAAAGTAGACGCAAGGGTCTTGTTCATAAATAGTGCGGCTATTATTTGAGTAAATACGATATACCAAAAAATACCGCGGAAGCGCTCACTCCGTTCAAGCGCCTATTTTTAACATTTCCCAAAGTTGGGGATCCTGCGAATTATATGTTTAGCACCCGATTTGACCACACAAGTGCCTATATCTAGATTAATCCAGTTTTCAGTAAAGTGGGGGGTGCGCTCACCTGATATTTTACGATAGTTGTTCAGGAAACATCCAGAGTTGATAAAACCATCCCACAGTGTATGCTGTGGCTTTTATGGCCCCTCTTGCACCATGTGCCGTCTGTCATCAGTTACAGTAGCTGTTCTCCCCATTTCAGTCATCACGAGGTTTTGGTTGGCAGTTTTTGCGGCAGCAGCATGAACTTCTTGCTAGTGAATGTCTCATGGTGCATTAGTGCTAGCAGGCTGATAATTGCGCAGTAGCGCCGAAGCTTACTGCTTTCAAGTTGACGGGAAAACTTGCACGAGCTTCTGCCATCGTAGCTTTGCTTTGTACTTATACGTAGATCCCCATCTCGTACGCCATGTTTTGACGAAAACGTCGAAAGAAAAACCCACTCGGGTTGCTTGCTCTTCTCAGTGTCGTCTGAGGGACGACGAAAAACCCTTGCGCTTCCCAGCCAACTCACGGACGCATAGAGAATCTGCACTCGTGGCAAGCGGGACAGGTCGCACCGCTCACAAGTGTCGTCAGCACGCCGACGTCACATATCGCTGAACTTGCAGAGCCATAGCCACTTGTTCCGTATTTGTTTTCAATGTTTTCAGCGTTGTTCCGCTCACTTTGCCGTCGCATTCTTGAAGCTTGTGCTTGCTTCTGAAGTTCCAAGCGGGAAAATAGCATGTATCACAAATCAAATCGAAGAAACTTAGAAAGCGCTGTTTTCCCGAGTGGCACTTGCTCGGAGACCGATTCCCTCAATTAATTGGCCCAAGTCCAAAAATGGTTGCATTGTCTTTGTAAGCGAGGTTGACTCGGTTGTGGTGCTCCGGCGATGCAGGCACCCTGTGCGGCACCTGAAGGCCAACGCAACCACCCTGGTGACGGCCCACCTGCCACAGGAGCTCTTCCCTGAGCCCGAGGACGGAAACGTCGTGGTGCACGCCAGGTGAGAGCGCACAAAGCACGGGTGAACGCCCGCTCGAGCGGGCGTTCACCCGTAAGTGCAAAGCATTTTCAAGGAAATCCTTTGCACTTACGCGTCCAAGGCTCGGTTTGGTAACCAGCGAAGCAGGCGGCACGCATCTGATATTATACCTACTTTAGCCATGCATACGAGAGGTGATGCGCCAAACAAGTGTGATACGATATGCTAGCATCTGAAGGAGAGATACAGTCACAGTTGAATGTAAGGGCACAAACGAGCTCGTTTAGATTGATTGTGACATAAACCTTGAGACTGCAGGCCGAAAACGACGAGAAAACTGAAAGGTCTCGAACACAGCTAAATTTTTTATTTCCGAAACATGCTTATATGGTCACCTTCACAAAAAAAAAAAAGAGAGTGAGAAGCCAATGCACGTTTTTGCCACAAGTAAACAGTAAATGCAGCGACCCAACAAAAACATGAAAGTTAGGCATGTGCGAATAGAAGATTTTGGGTCCGAGTCGAATTCAAGGCGAATAGGGATTTTGGTCGAATAATTTCAAATCGAACAGTTTGAATAGTACAAGCAACAAATACCACAAATACGTTTAAACGATAGTTTTATATTTTCCCGTATTAGGTATTAGAAGTACTGTAATTGTTAATTTCAAGTGTACTGAGTTCGGAAGTACGAAATGGTCAAAATGGTCGGAAGCTTGCGCCACCTGCCCGGAATTCCAAGCCAGAGTAAGTCAAACCCGTTTATATCGAACTCGCAAAAAAACATCTGCCAGTTCGTATAGCTGGTAATTTGATATGGAAAGTTTTAATGAATTTGACCCTCAAAAATCCACTTTCTGCTGAAATATTACCCAATGAAGTAGTCTTGCATCATCTGCTGCTTTTTCTTCATTTCATCCGCGATAACGATATTTTTCTGCGCTATCGACGGACTCCGAAATACCGAGGCCGCTGCCTTCTATATTTTCGCATTAGCGCCGAACTATGCCGAGAGCACGGCGCACGTCCGAGCAGGAGCACCTTCTCCTGCAGAGCGCCGTTTTGCTCTGCAAGTTGGCTTTCCCCTACAACAGGTGGCTGTGTTGGGGGAAGCCAACTAGCAAAAAAGCTAACTTTTTTTTTTTTTTTTCGGGCGGTTGCGTCAATTGCTTTGAAGAAAAAATAATATTTTCTTTTGCGGACGGAGCGGGGAGAGGGAGCATTGAGCACCCTCTGTCCGCTCCCTCCGCAAAAGCTATTTCTTTTCTTCCCTGCAATCAACGCGACCGCCCGAAAAAAAAAAAAAAAAAAAAAAAAAAAAAAAAGAAGCCAGCGTGTTTTGCAAGCTGGCTTTCCCCCAATGCGGCCGCGCGCGTTGGGGAAAAGCCAGCTTGCAGAGCAAAACGGCGCTCTTGGCAGTTCGATATATCGGTAGCGGCTGCTATTCTTGTTCGATGCAACCATAGTTTTTGCTATATATTTTCACTGTAACATTACTCTGCACAAATATTTCTCGATACAAGGAATAATTCGATGTAAACAGGTTCGATATAGTTGGGTTTGACTATTTAAAAGGTTGAATAGTCCTATATTGTCGAATAATTTGATATTGTCGAATAATTCGATATTGTTGAATACTTAAATTCGATTCGAAGCGAATGCCGGATAGAACAGAATTCGATTGGCTATTCGTAATAACCGAATATTCGCCCGTCCCTAACGAAAGTATGTCGTTGACCTTTGCCAACCAAACACAAGACCCTCCTTGTGTACTCATACTTCTATGTCCTGTAACACAGAGTGGATTACAACCAAACACATCACCCTAGCATCAAAAAACACAACCAACACTTGAACCCCCAAAGAATGAAACAGTGACTCGCCAAGAACACAAAAGACGTTGCGACTCCCACCTTCTTCCTTAGTCTGAATCATTGCTTACAGAACACTATCATTCTCCCCTTGTGCTGGTAATACTAAGACTGGTAAACCAAAGTGAATCATAGAAAACACGTCACTCTAGCTTTTCGGAAACACAAACACAGGACTCACAAGGTCACCATTTTTCAGACCCCTAGAAACCATCTCAGTTCAGGACCTCAGCAAAACGAAGGTTTATTAATTAACATAGTTTTTATGGTTTAAGATTGTCAATGACCCTTTAATCAAGTGCTTGTAGTCATTCTTCTCCCGTAACTCCACTGAGGTTAAACTCTACAGTGGCACACAGTTGTTACATTCGGCAACATATTTGAATAGTTCAGAGTTGTCCGATATAACGTAGTCCTTTGTTAGCTTCCAAGGTTAATGGTGTCTGAAAGGATACATTTGGCATTAAGTTTTATTATGAAACACCACAAGGTGGGTCTTCCCCTTCGGCTGGTCGTAAATGAAAATTGTGCATGGCAAAAAACGGTGTCATCCTTTCTACAGAATGCTCTAACTAATGTGGATACCACCACTCCTTTGTATTTGCGATGCTCCTATGATATAGTGAGTGACAACCATTTTATGAAAAGTGCTGTACGTTTTGTTTGTTATACATAAAGGATTTATACTACTCACTTAATTGAACCCAAGATTTACTTGCTAGGGTTAACAGTTTTTCTGGAAGATCATTTGGTCACATTTAAAGCTCAGTCGGGTATATCAGTTCCCGAGTTTCTTAGGATCTTGGAGGTGTACTTAACCTCAACGGTTGTACAGTATGATGGTTGTAATTTTATCCAGCAGCAAGGTGTGTGCATTGGGCCAGCGGTAGCCCCAGCTCTTTCTGAGATCTATCTAAGGTTTCTGGATTTGAAGCTCTTTGATTATGTTAAGGAGAGTTCCCCTAATGAAGTATTGGCGAAGAGGTATGTAGGCAATATTTTGGTATGTACTACGAACGTCTCTCTAGCAGATTGTCTAGAGAAATCGGTTTTTGAGATGGATCTCGAGCTAAAGTTGTCTTTAAAAAGTTTGGAAGGTGCTTACTTATAGTATCTTGATCTTCAACTTAAAACTGGTTCAGGTCTTTGCTGGGAGATGGAGAATCTGCAGCAAAATCTCTTCTTCCATTCACTAGCTGTCACTCAAAGCTTGTGAAGGTGGGCTTAATTTGGAATCTAGTCAATGCAGCAGTAAAAACGTCTTGTTTCCATTCGATAAGTAAATATATTCATTGTCTTATGGAATGAAAGAAATCAATTGACAGCTAGACAGTGCACTGTTGGTAGCTCTGTCAGATAAAGAGGTTTGTTTTTTGCGAGCAAATATGAATAGTGGTGTGTGAACCGTTTCAACTCCGAAGATTGTGGGGTGTCTGATAGATAATTAGGTGTTTGTTAATGTAATCAGTGTCGGCTAAGGTGTTTTCTTTTTGTTATTTTAATTAATAAAACATTAGTTGCTAGAACAGCTTCGTCCTGTCTTGTTTGTTGTCTTCACTCCTTCTTCGTCGTTTGAGCGGTTTTCATCACGTATAACGTTTACCAACTCGCCCAATTGGCTACCTTACAGAAGACTAGTTCTTATACAGGTCACGAATAACAACGGTGACACTGTGCAGCTCTGAAGGTCATGGGTGGCTCACCGTGGAAGGACACTATCACACAAAGGCAACGTGTAGAAACACCAGTGGGAACAGCTAGAAAACGTGCATGTCCATGGAAGAAAGAAACTCCGATATCTTACTGACCGTCCTATCCTGTTTACAAACGTTAACAAAAGCTTCAAAGAGAATTTCAGGCACCGCGTTGTTGCGCATGCACTTTTGGATTTTTCGCATTTAGTGTTGCTTTTTAGATTTAAGGCAGACTTTATTAAGCTTTCAAACTTTTTCCTCTTCTTAAAGTTTATGAAGTTTTCAGTTAGACTTTTTCTGCCTAGAAAGTATACCACAGAAAAAAACTCGGCAGCAATTATTAATTTAGGAGCAATATACCCAATGAGCTTAATAAATATTACAAAAAGGGACATTTTCTTTTTTACAAAACTGATGAATAAAATGATAGGTTGATATATGTTACACATGATCCAACAGCCTCCATGTAAAAAGAAGAAAAAAAAATTTGTGAGCTTTTCTCCGCGCATGTTCAATGGCTGGTGAGCTTTTCTCCGTATCCGTCGATTTTGTGGTGAGCTTTTCTCCGGGATTCTTAACTTGCAGCCACCGTTCGTCAATTATGATGTTATATCACGTAAAAGTATGTACAAAAGTATGTAGGTTGTGCAGTAGCAGAGGCTCGGTCGCATGTTATAAAAGTTTCATGGTTTTCATTGACTAAGGACGGCAAGAGCCATTTCCTCCGTGCGTGCCGATTGGCTGCGACGGCGGAGAAATTTTTTCTGCTTGGGAAAATTCGGCCCCGGCCCGATTGTTCCCGCTGGCAAATATTCCGTCGCTGGCGAGGGGATTCCCCCTCCCGGTGGATTCGCCACTTGCAGATTCGCCTGCGAATTCGCAAGTGTGAACGAGCCATTTCATAACGTTGCACATTATTGGCTGGAATGTAATGTGGGTAAAAGAAAGGAGCGATGGGTTTTACGAGTGTAAATAAGTTAATTGTGCTCTTTTCCTCCTTGTGTGAAACCAGGCAGAGGGGATCGATCCGCGTGTACGACTTCACAGCCAATCAGCACACTTCGGGGATCCCTTCCATCTGTCTGTCGTCCTACGACGAGCCCGCCGGCTACAACTACAACGTCCGCCTGGCGGTGCCCTACGACGACATCGTGGAGATCTAGTCGTCTGGACCGGGGGGAGGGCGGGGTGCTAAAGACGGGAGCAGAGCGCAGTAAATCACAATAAGCTTCGGCATCGGTGGTACCGAGGTCAAGAATGAGAAGGTTGTTGCTGTTAATTTGACTTTCGTTACCGCAAGGGCTTCATGAGGGCCAAATGGTGCAAGGACTTTATGAATATTTTGTACTTTGTGTCTGCATAAAAGGATGGGAATGAAACTATTAGAAAGCATGTAAAGGGCTCATGGTGTCTTCATAAAGCTGGAGTATGTAAGTGAAAGAAATGACCCGAGAGAGCAACAGAAAGCGGTAAAAGGGAGCGGACAGTATGTTAGACGTGTCCATTTTGCTGCACCAAGCTCAGGTTGTTTGAGTCCTTGTCAACTTCATTTTTTGTTTATATAACATGATTTCCCGTGTTTTCCTCCTAAGTAAAGCTGGAAACAATCTAGGAACAGACATTACAAGTAATGTTTTTGCCACTTCTTTTTGTATATTAAGCCAGCGAATTAGGCCCACCAGGACCACCAATGTTCGCATCCATGCCCTGCCGTTCCAAAGCGGCCAAAATGCTGGGAAGTAAACATTTTTTTCTTGATTATCATATTAACTCCATGATCTGGACTATACTCTATACCACTTGTTGTGCACAGCATTACCAAAGGGTGCGAGAGCGTAATCCAAGTATTTCAGGAGGGGGAAAGGAGGAACTCCCCTTTAACCCGGACCCTCTTTCGTACGTCCCAGACACTGCTTTGTCCCCCTCGGAGATCGGCCCACCACTCGAAACTTGGTGCAAAAGTGGCTTTTCTCTCCCTCCCACCTGTGGCTTAAAGCGCACTGTGCACAACTAGTGAGATAGGGTATGGATTCCCTTTTTGCGTGGATGAAGTTGGTGATCGTGGGCCTTACATTGGCTAGCTTTGAGCTACCGAGTCAGTCCAACCAGTGGCGTCACTGGAAGGGGGAGGGGGGGGTTGCCACGGTGAACCTCCAGCCTGGGTGCCACACCCTAGTGACGCCACGGTTCATCTAAGGGAAAATGCAGAAACTTGCAGTGTATATAGCATAGTCATTTCACTGTTTAGAGGTGTGTGATGAAACTATACCTCATTTATATTTGTCTAAATGTGCTGTTATGGGGGTGGCTTTGTTGCAAATCAAAACAAAAGGACATTTGGTGCACAGGTAAAAGCTAGCTTTTGTGATAAAAAAAAAAAAAAAAGTGATTTTGTGCAATCAGTATCGCTTGTTTGGCTCATCTGTGACTTCATAGTTTGTATATATCCCAATGAACCCAACTGGAATGCCTTTCAATAAACATGTTTCACCCCCTGCTTTGTTCCACTTGGGCTCTTTATTGCATATACTATGTGTATGTGTGCTATTGAGAGACCAGTTGTGTTTGTAGAGGTTGCTCTTATAAAGGTTTTGCATGGAAGCATACATGCATAAACTTTTGGATCGCCATGGAACAATGCCCCCTTTAGGCCTATGTGATATGATTATACACAGTCACCAGTGTGGCAGCTTGTTTGTCAGCTCCAGCAGTTCTTTTGTCAGACATCACGTGCATGTGCCCAATGATCTTCGTCCTGCTGCAAGAGTGACTTCCCAGCAAGTATCGCGGCAAGGTTGAGTTTATTGGTGTGATGTGATTATCACTATGCAACAGCGACCCCGGAAGAGTATTTTACGTGGGGCGGCTAGCGGTCGAAATAAGGAATGGGGGGGGGGGGGGGGGGGGGGGGGGGGGGGGAGAGAGAGAGGGAGGGGGGGGGGGAGGGGAGGGGGGAGGAGGGAAAAAATAAGTTACCAAGATTACTGTTTATAGAAGGTTTATTATCACTATACCGTGTGTCCATACATTCATTCATTATTCCTGTCACAAAGCAGTGAGATGTTGACAATCTGATTTAATAGTAGTCGATCTACGGGTGTCGATATAAAATGCTCTGGAAAATCGGGTGCCTGCACGTAGAAAGCTCACATTTTCAACAAAGGTGTATTCTATAGTAATCGTGTACGTATTCCTGTGAAATTTCTCGGCCCGGCCAGCTTCGTTCTGGTAGAAAGTTATAACAGTGCATTCTTGAAAATTTCATAAAAGTTTACCACCGGTGGACGCGGTAGTTCTTCGGTGGTAAACCTTTACTGGCGACGACCTTTTTTATTTCAGTATGTTTCCTGTTTTTATGGCCGTCTTTGAAAAGAGGCTAAAACCAGTCATAGACACGTTACTGCTGAAATGCAAGTGTTACAGTTACTCAGGGAAAAAAGTAATCCTGCTACAGTTACAGAATTTAAAGAGTAACTCTTACAGTTATATCTACTTCGCTAAGGTAACACCGTTACTTTGTCGTTAAATTACAAAAATATATTAAAAATTTAAAAGGAACCTTCCTTATGCATTTAACATTGATTTTTCGTAAGACACTGTGTCGTTCACGGTAGTGAATCTGAGTTTTTTGAGAAACTAAAATTTCCTAATAACTAATTGTAATATTGACATGTTTGATACTTACTAATTAAATTTTTACCATGAATTGCTTTCTGAACAGGTAAATCAACTATATGATAAATCATCTATGGTTATTTCACAAAAGTAACGGGCGACTTTAGTTTTTCAAAGATCCATAAAGAACTTAGAAATTAAGCGCGACCACCATAAGGTATACACGAATACAACAGCACGCGTCTATACTCCGCGACAACTTTTCTTGGCAATGCAGTGGAAGGTACGTCCCGCGTCCCCTCTCCCATTTTGAGTGTGCGCAGGCTTTCCTCCTCTCCCCGGAAATGGGGGAGGAGGAGAGCCTGCGTACACTCAAAATGGGTGAGGGGACGCGGGCCTGTACCTTCCACTGCATTGCCAAGAAAAGTTGTCGCGGAGTATAGATCTCGGATATATCCAATCATAGAGTTTATACAATCGGTCATTTCTAATTCTGGATTTCTTTTGTGAGGCGAAATGGGACGGAAGCAACACATCGTGCATATGCCAAGTCAATAATACTATATAAGTCATACCTTGCAATCAGCTTTGTAGATGTGCCACTCCAATGCACTCGTCAATCGAGGTACAAACGGCCGCTGCGTGTAGAATTCTAAACGGCTATTGCGATCTTTTCTCTGCCACTTCCTAACCAGATAGAACACGTTTGCGCTTTTTCCATCTCACCACCCCAACTAGAAGAGACCACCCGGAAAGCCCACGGCGTGAATACCCTAGCAAAAATTCCCATAGAGAATTCCCATAGCCTATCGGTTTAGTGACACCTATGGGTGTATCGGCCTATAGGCGTATGGGCCTATAGGCGTATGGGTCTATAGGCGTATGGGCCTATAGGCGTATGGGCCTATAGGCGTATGGGCCTATAGGCATATGGGCCTATAGGCGTATGGGCCTATTGGTGTATGGGCCTATTTGTGCATTGGCATATAGGCCATCTGCATGAGCACACAGTGTATGGTGGTGCCTTTATACATTTTATTATGCAAAAAGGGGTCTTGAGGTACACTTGCTCCTGTTATGAAGGCATCTTGACGCTGAACACTGTCACAAACTGAGTCTTGAAGGTGCCAGAGCGTAATGGCATACTTCTTGCTTGAAATCCTAAAATGAGCAGCAGAACAAACAAAAAGAGTTAATCGGCGGCGTGGCAAAGGTGGAGGATGATGTCACCACAGAAAGTGATTAAGGCTAAAGCCATTCGATAGATGACTCGAGCATTTTTAAATTTCAGACTGAAGAAAATAAAATTAAGAGGCTGGATTTCCTTTGTTTTCTGTCTTCATCATGAGCCTAACTGCCTTCAAAACTAATTAAGCATCTACCTTCTGAAGAACCTTGAAATTAAATAATGTAAAATTAATATCAGCTTTGTTTGTGGGATTCCTAACAACGCTTCATTTAGTTCGGTCAACAAATACATTGTAGGCATATAAACTCAGGTTAATTCGGGAAAGTCAGGGGATCGAAGTTTGCCCTGTTTGCCTTAACAGTACCATCCAGTCCACTTGCATAACTTCAAAACTAGTTAGTTGCATGCTGTCACGCGTTTTATAAAGATGGCTATAAAGATGGCTGCCGCGATCGCAAGTACACGCGCTTTGATAGCTTTGAGCTCTGAATCCAACGGTATGTGACATTTTCTGTACGCTATGACTATACCAACCGCGGTCGCCAAGTGCGACTCACGCAGTCCCAAGCGGGCGGCGGGCGTCGAAGACGCGATCAACGGAATGTCGTGGGCGCCGCTATTTTCGGTATCCGCGCTATTTCCGAGAAATAACGGGCCCCAAAGACCAAGCCCCAATGCTCGTTTTGGGTCTGCGCATTCGCACTAGCGACGACGTTAATTATTCGAGGTTGCGGACGTCGTTCTGACACTCCCTAATGTTCAAACTTCCACGCGTCTACAATGCAAACAAAGACCAAAAGCATGCTTACCAAGTGTGTTGAGGTGCTCGCTAGACTGTCGCGTCGTGGGTCTTCCAAGCTCTTTTTGACCATAATCAACATAAGAGGAGACTTCACAGATAGGTATACTTGAATAAATGAGCACATTTCCATGTCTAAAAGCATTTTCGTCCCCTGACAGAAACACACCCGACGCACGACAAGACAATGTCGGGGGGAAAAAAAAAGTGTGGTGTCGCTAGCGATGGGGTGCTGTAACTAGTACGAGCTCGATAGGAATAGATAACTGGGCAAGTTGGTGAGAATTCATGTTGAGAGACAGCGCGACCGGGACGAGGACAAAAAGACGAAGAGAACACAGGACAGGCGCTGTCCTGTGTTCTCTTCGTCTTTTTGTCCTTGTCCCAGCCGTGCTGTTTTTCAACAATATGAGCTCCTTACAAAATCGAAACCGAAACTGGCCGAATCGCGATGGAGGGTGCCACAAAAATGTCTTTACAAACTTAGGAATTAAAGAGGGTGAATACAGCTATTGTTATAAGCACATGAAATAAATGTGTAAATTATGACTAGTACCGACTTGCCATTTGTTTTGGGTGAAATGGAGTAAGAAGTAGATTTCTTTGTTTCAACCCATCAAGATATTTTCTTTATTTTTCGTGGAGATTACTTTTATTTACACTTTCCTCACAGTATTTTATAAGTAAATTATTTTGACGCACCAGGGTCCCAAGTTTTATTTAGAATATTGCCCTAAAATTTATTCAGAAAAGAAAGCATTTCATTGTGCTATTTTCCTCTAAATTGTGCATGACTGTGTGTGAGTCTCTTATTCTAGCATTATTTCAAGCTACGAAACTATATGAATTTTTATAACCCATTGATTTACAATGATGGTGT